GGTTGTGTCATCCGCATAACGCAGATTGTTGATAAATCGTCCACCAATCTTGACCCCACATTTCTCCTCATAGAGCCCAGCCTCCTGGATAATCTTTAAGTTCTAAATTTAAAAATTATCCCCTTAAGTTGTCTTAAAAGGGACCTCTGGTGGTATAGTTCATACGGAGTTGTGCTGCTAACACAAAAGTGGAGCTTCCCTGGTGGTTCGAATTCACCAGTGTCTCCAGGGAGAAATACTGTGTGACTTAGAACACCTCCTGAAAACCTGAGGGAGGGTCAGTTATGAGTAGGTTCTGACTCAACGGCAGTGACTTTCTTGAATTTGAGTAAAGGATGTTTGCCTTGAGTATTATGATCTTTTAAAATCTGTATGGAATCGAATTGACAAGAACAACTTGAAAGATTAGGTAAGGAATTCAGAGGGCAGTGAATTTCTGTTAATGGGGGAGGAAAGACTCAGAAAAATGCTGAAGCTCTGTCTCACATACTTTGGGCATGCTATTAGGAGAAGCCAGGCCTTGGAAAACAACATCATGCTTGGAAGGATGGATGGTCAATGACAGACCCTCAAGGAGATAGATAAACATACATGGTTATTGTAACAATGGGCTCAAGTTTATCAGAGATGATAAGGATGGCTCAGGATAGGGCAAGGTTCAGATCTATTGTTCATAGAGTTGAGTCGTATTCAGCTTGACAGTATCTAATAATAACTCAGGAAATGAAAGTGAAAATGATTGCACAATATGGAAAGTGTAATAAGTGTCAGCTGTATGATGCATAGCATAGCAAATGATTGCAAAGACTATGGCCTGTACCAGGCACACCTTAGTCTCTAGACTGACACCATTGCTCTTCAGTTTAGTTTTTTCCCATTTTTATTTTATTATTTTGTGTGTGTGTGTGTGTGTGTGTGTGTGTGTACCATCAAATCGGATCTGACTGGTACAGGAGGAGATTGCCCCTCCTTCTCCAGCAGAGCATCTGGTGGATTTGAA